GAGGACAAGTTTGGGGCTGCGCTTGGAAGACGTGGTTTTTTGGTGGACGCAGGGCGTTACTCTCCTCTGTGGGACGTCTGCATAGCCTGCCACGGCCGGTCGTTCCCGCCAGTTGGAGGCGCTCTGTTTTCGAGGTGGTGCACGACCTTGTCTCACCCCCGGCGGTAAACCTTTCAGTGCGCTTGGTGGCCGCGAGTTCGTCTGGCGGGACTAAACCTAAAAGGATGTGAGGACTGTGGGGCTGGTGAGTGCGTGGCTTGTCAACGCGCTAAGAGTGCATCGCACATCGAAAGCCCCTTTGGAACGTTTCATGGTGCCGGAAAGGAGGTTTGACCACGTCAAGATCTGACCTAGTGGTTCATTGCCCTCCTCTCAGGTTTTTCCTACCTCCTCACCATGGTGGACCGGATGACCCGTTGGCCGGAGGCGGTTCCTCTCGTGTCGACGTCAGCGGCTGACATAGCCCGGGCTTTCATTGCGACGTGGGTGTGTCGGTTTGGCGCCCCGTCGGACATTTCCTCTGACCGGGGTTCACAGCTCACGTCTGAGCTCTTGAACGCCGTGGCGTATGGTCTGGGGGTTAAGCTTCACAGGACAACCGCTTATCGGCCTCTGTGAATGTTTCCATCTCTCCATGAAGGCACGTGGGGGTCGATCTGTCGTTCCTCCGCGCCACGCTGACTTTGTTTACGGGTGAATTCTGGGGGGGCTTGTGTGGCGACACATTATTAGTATATAATTCACCGTGTGATATAATTCACCCGTTAGTGAGGGTACCTGGGTTTGTTGTCATTCGTGCTGGCTTGTCATACAGAGCAGCACATGTACTTATCGTGTCTTGATTAACGGATAATAAAGTGTGGAAGTCCATACTGAATACACCGCCTCTGACTCCCTTTCATCGGCTCTACAGTATACATTAAACCCGGTTAAATATCATTATGTTAGCATTGTCGTGATTAGCATGTTCGCGTGGAGACGTAAGCTTAAAGCAGTTGTCTGCCTAACTACAGCCTTACAGCACTGCGTGATGTATGACTAGTTATTTCTCTTGAAACAGATTATAATGAGTAGATCATATCTCATCATGTGTTTATTGAAAGGCTGTGAAGAAGTATATAAATACAAGGTGTCAAAAATAACAATATTTTACATATACTTGGGTTGAGTAAATTATTAGATACTACTTTCTACCACTGATGTATGTATTGTAAAAATAAAATGTTATAATTAAAAGGACATTCGGAAAGTGCAACCTCAAACAAGGCGGTTTCCGTAAGTGAAAAATAATGTGTGTGTTAACCCTGTGATTTGGGCCTGCTCCAACTAATTGTTTCTTTCTTGGCCCATGCTACACCCTTTACCCTTTCAGTAGTATTTCCGTAATCTTGCTGACAAACAAACCAACAATCCACCCAACCAACCTACATCGTAAAATCCGTTGCTTATTGTTCTGTGAATGATCCGTTAGACCTCAGCTCTTACCTCATTGTCTGTGCCCACATCCAGCATGATAGGCAGGCACTGCTGGGGCGGCACACCTCCACAGGCTGTGTACAGGGCCAGCTTTCCCACTGGGATCCCCATACCACAGCAGCCCAGGTCCCCCAGCCCCAGGATCCTCTCTCCGTCCGTCACACACACCGCCTGCAAATCAACATTATTGTCAGCCATAAACAATACAGTACTGCAGCAGCCACAGTAACCATTTTGTCAATTTAAATCCTTGTGCTACATATTCCTAAATTAGATTTAATTTCTCTTTTATACACAATTTAATGAGGAACTAAATGAAGCAGCAGTTCTGCCGCCATGTCTCATGAAGTCAAACCTTCCTCACCAAAACAAATCCACCCTGCTACCCAGAAACACATTTTCTTCCTCAGTGTAAGCCAGGCCCTCCTACACTCTGCTGGCTTTCCACTCACTTTAATCATTAGGCAAGAAAAACGTTTCTGTAGGTTGATTCCACAGCATGAAACAAATCGATTGTGCAACACTTAACTTTTGTTTAATTTGAAATGTTCCGAATTCTTAATGTTTTTATTTTTCCACCATATGTGTGATGCAGAATACCCTGGCACAACCTTTAAAGCCTGGTTTTTACCAGAATCTGACAGGTTTAAAGTCTAGAATGTCATTAGTGCTCCCATTTGAATTTTTTAAAACTATAATGACCATACTTTACACCATTAAGAGCTTTTTATCACCCTATTCTCACTAATGTGACTGAGGCTGCTCAACCTATTAATGGATGACTACCTCAGCTCCAATGTTCCTTCTCTCTATGGATAAGGTAAAAGTAGGCCATATTGGGTGAGTTTACGATGAGACCACCCTGACAATGAGATCCCAGCTAAATGCCATGCTGTTGACAGCTGTGAACAGGTGGCTGAGGCTGCAGGTATATTTGACATGCCAGGAATGCATACTAGTTTCGTCATTATAAATATGACGAGATTATGACTTGCACATAGTTGCTCTATACAGAAGATAAAGGGAATAATTCAGGCTTTTGGGAAATTGGCCAATGCAGCAGGTCAAGAGAACCAATAATGAAATCATCCACAGTCATACAATGGACTAGATTTACTGTAGTCATTATTGTTTGAGATAGTATGAGATGACTAACCTTTAAATAAAGAAAACACTGATCACAAATTAGCCCAAAAGCTAATGGATGTGATTCCTAACTTTAAACTATTAAGTAATCACTTTTCCCTCCCTATTTTCAATAGGCTTTGTATCAATGCAATGAATTTGGGGATTTAGGTTTGCAAATGCACAATGTACGGCTGTTCTCCATGTAACCATCGCTGCTCAACTGCCAGCAATAGTCTGCATTTTGCATCCTTCACAGTCCCTCCGTTGACGCAAAATAAAGCATTTTGCTACACTAGCCGGACAACTCCCCACTAAGCAGTGAGCTCTGAACAATAAAACAGAGAGAAGCCTCACATTGATGATTTGCATTGTACAAAGCAAGTAGTCCTCATATTGTACATTGAATTTCAATTTAAAAAAACAAAACAATACAAAGCAAGCATGTACACAGAGAACAACATGTTGTAAAGGATTATGTTATTTTAAGTTTAACACTCTATAACTGATATCATGTTAACAGTGGCCATCCGTCACTGAAGATAATTCTTTAAGGCAGTTAAGGTTATCTTCTCTGGAAGTCCATAGAGCTAATCTTTGTCCTTTAACATCATAGTTTGTAACAGGAATTATGACTCTTGGTGCAATTGTACAGAATATGATTCATTTGCCATGGGTTTTGTAACGAGTGAACAACATGAATATCAAATACTGCTATAAGACTTCATGGCAGATTTTTGAGTGATGTTATTTACCCTGACGTCCTTTTCTGGCCAGTTCTGGAGTATTGTTGAAATGTGGCCTCTGTCATGAATAGTGATGAAGAGCCCCCTGGAACATAGGAAAACAAATTTAAAAAAGAAAGTTAAAAGAAAAATAACATAGAACTATTGCATATTCACAAGGCATCTCAGTGTGCAATTGAAAGTGTTCTTCTACTTTCTAACTCCCCAAGTGTTATACCATGCTAGATTTTATCAAGTAATATGTCACTTAAATCGTTCCAATAAAAATGGTGGCATAAGAACTAAAATAACACGTGAACACTTTGTACTTATATAAACGTCTTATCTGAGATTCGAGGGAACAACAGCTTGAAGCTAAGAGACGTTTGAAGTATAGCTGCTTTTTCCATTCTGCCTTTCTTTCTTCTGACCAAGACTTTATTCAATACTGACGGCACCTGGGACTTTAATGTTGAGCCCGGATCCCAGGGCCTCTGCAGGGAGTTTACTTTGGACCCTTGAGGCTCCCCAAATATTCATTTATCTTTGTATCACCCCTCCCACCAACCCTTCATCCTTCCTTTCTTCGCTCCCTTGCATCAGTGTCCTCCGAGTCTTTCCTACCCTACACACCCATCTGGTTATAGTATGGGGGGGCATCACCTCCTCCGTGACAGTAAAAACATCACTATTTGTAAGAATCTGCTCGTAAAGTAAGAAGCCAACCCAGGTCACTGCTTGTGGAAGAAACAGTGTGATATATTGTTAAAATATAGTGAGATAAATACATAAAGGTGTCACATAAAAATGCTTTCATATGTCAGGGATGAGAAAGGGTTCACTGTCAGCATTGGTTTCAACTTAACACCAGTAACCATGGTAGAAGAAAAGTACAGCCAAGCTAACAGCTACGTGAAGCTGTACTTGGACACAAGTGGTTTTGTTGAGCTAAATAGAAACATCAGCATGCTCACAATATTGAGAAAATGTTCTCATACTGCCTGTGCTGCAGCACCTCTTTTCACCCTCTGTCTGAAACCAGAGGCCAGTCTTCTCTGATTGGTTAGCTGGCCAGCTCTGTTGTGATTAGTCAACAGCTTATAGATGTTTTAAAGGAAGAAAAAAAAATACAAATAATAATACTTAATGAATGTGTTGTTTTAACTACCACTTAGTGTTTTGAAAATAAATAACTTTATATATTGGATTCTTTATTTATATAGATATATACCTATATAAATACCTGTATTACTCTTTCTACAAGTATATTTTCCTCCCTTAAAAAGAGCTCTGAGGTCACATAGAGGTCACTAGGCCAAAAACATCTAGCAGTTAAACACGTCTTCACTTTTGTGGCTATACGATGACACACATCTGCATATAGCTACACATTTACGGAGTCGTGTGCTTGAAAAGCACACTGGGAAAATCATTTGAAGAGTCTAACAAATGTATGCACAGCAGTAATGTCTGACTGTGAGGACCTGGACACGTTTAAACTGAATGTGTGTGGGAGTAATAAAAAAAAGTGCAGCCTGCTGTGTGTGTTTACCTGAAGCCAGGAGGACATGAGTCACTGCCAGAAAACAGAACAATGAGGCTATAATGGAGAAAAAGCAGAATTGGGGCTGAAAGGTTGACCCACAATCTGACTAAGTTGGAAAACAACTTCATGAGACGGATCAGAGCAGACAGCCAGACTGGCAGTAACGCCTAATCTCTGTCAACATGAAGGTTATGAAAAACATTTCAGCCGGCCATTATTCCTGTCCTTCCTCCAATCCTCATTTTCTGCCATTCTGTCTTTGCACAGGAGCTGTCATCCTCATGATCTTGGACCCTGACAAGTTCAATGAAGTAGGAGTGCCTGTTATGCCTTTTAACAGACAGAAAAACACACACAAATGCCAAATCCTCAGAGAAAACTCCTCATGTATCTACAGTATCCAGAGCAGCAAAGAGCTAATCTACATTATCTCACGATGTCAGGGCTCATGCCGTTTTAAATCCATCATCACTGTCCATTAGGATAATGAGGATCTTTCTTTAAGCCAGGTTTTTGAAATGGTGGGAAATTGCTTAATGGCTCATTGACAGCACACAGATGATAACTGATAAAAAAGGAAAACAATATGTGCTTCACATATTTGGTGTGGGAATATTGTTGTGAAATTAAGTCGTTTTGGCCTGTCCACATTTGGGTCAGAGTAAAATTCCTCCCTCTGGTACTTTTACAGTTGTCAAGCTAACATAAAACCACTGCTCATATGCTTGATAATGTGAATTATTGCAAATTTCTTGGAAAGTGTTGCACATTTCTGTATGAAACTACCACTTCTTACAACTGCATAGGTCTTTCCAATAACATCCCAATTATATTATACATTTGTAGTATTGCTGTTGTATTTGTTTTTCTTCTATTCCATTTCTATTTGTCTCTTTTCTTCTACTATGTTTATGTTATACACCAATACCCCAAAGCAAATTATTTGTATGTGAAACATTGCATAGCAATGAAAAAGATTCTGAATCTGTTATTGTCTTTCAACTTCAACAACAGTGATTCCGATCATCCTTTGACAGAAGAAGCCTGGATAGATGTAAAAGTATCAGGTAATCCTTTATAGAAACGGACATAATCATTACTTTTAGCTATCAGAAATGCATCCATTACTTAAAGCTACGCTTTTTTACATCTATTTAGCTACTTTAAGTATATTTAACAGTTTATCCACACTTAGTGGTTTATCTTAACACATTTCTCCTTTCATCACCATTTATAAATGTTTAGCTATTTAGCTATTAGTGTGTTAGTGTTGTTCGGTTACTCTTATCTAACTTGAACCGTGAATCGATTTATTTAAAGAGCCTGTGACAGCCTCCCAACAACTGTTGTGCAATGAAATATTGGGCTACTAGTCATCTCGAACCGTCAGTTTAAAAAAGAAGGTGCGATACCGTTCCGATAAATATCAATAATTTCGAACATCGCGGGGAAATTCCTTCGACTCATTTTGAGGTTTTGGGGGAAGCCGGAAGTGACGTCAATGCGGGAACGCTTCACTGTGCGGCGAGAGAGCCAAACACGGACAAAGTGTGTTGTCATGCGTAGAAATGGTGAATTACTGAGTTTAGGCACGTTAATAACGTTTTAATGAAGTTGACTACAGTATATTCATAGTTGTCAGTGCTTTCATGTCAATTCGGCGAACATAAACATAAATGATCGTGGTGAAGATGATGATTAAATTAGGATCACAAATCGGTAGTGAGAGCTGCTGAATTTCTTCCCGTCGGATGTGATATGAAAACAAATCGATTATTTTTGTAGTTGTAAACTCAAGTGGATGAAACTACATTTATTAGTGCTTTCATGTCAATTCGGCGAACATATGATACATTAAATGATCTTGAGGATGTTGATTTAAAAATTGTTTGTTTGAGCCGTTCTGCATTTCCTGATGAGAAAACAAACCGATGCTTTTTGTAGTTGTAGTACATTAAACGTGTGTTTTTTTTTACCACAATGTTG